ACCGGGGCGGGGCGCCGGGACGCGTAGGGGGCGGGGCGAGGACGGACCCAGGGCGCTCCCCTGCTTCGGTTCCCTGGCAGGAATCCGCTGCGGGTTCCAAGCTGTGCTTTGTCCCGCGGGATCCGCTCCAGGCGTGTTGGTGCCTCGGAGAAGCGTGGTCGGAGCTGAGCTGGAGCGGCCTGGAGGCGGTGCATGTAGGAAATCATAGGACCAGCCCCGCGTCCCGCATCCTGCGTGGATGACAGGTCAAAGTCAAGAAACCCAGTGTGTGTGCGGCGTTGGTGGTATAGTGGTGAGCATAGCTGCCTTCCAAGAAACCCAGTGTGTGCATGTTCAAGGTTACGCCTCTTACGGAAGCTCGTCCCTCTCCGTTTTCCTTCCGGGGTGCTTTCTGGTGTGGGAGAGCTAAGGGGGTGCGTTCCTGCGCCCCAGCACCGCCCCGGGTGTGTCCCCAGGGGGAGCAGGGAAGGGTGGGCGCTGCCAGTTTAAGTCAGCATCACCCGCACAGTCCGCAGAATCTAGTGACGAAAGAAAAACATCACAGAGATTCGTCCTTCTTTTGAACATCCGTCCCTCGGTGGGGATGTTGCCATTCCCGAGAGGGTCTCTGCTGGAAGCAAAGAGAAGTGAAAACCAACTCAAATCATGTGACTTGTCAGAGAGAAGAGCGGACCCCCGGTCTGGAGTTCAGTATAAGATGCATGAGCGATAGAACCTCGCAGACACTCCTGCTCGCCCGGCGGGCCCTGCCAGCCTTTGATCGGGTAGTTGACTCCCATGCACTCCGAGTTTTCCAGGGCGGCCATAAGTTACCCTAACAACAAGTTATTCTCTCCCAGTCCTAGGGCTCCTTGCCTCTCTGCTTCTGGTGGTCGCCATCAATCATCAACTTTCCTTGGCTGTGGCCACAAAACCCCGATGTCTGCCTCCATGGTCGCATGGCCTTTCCTTGTGTTTCTCTGTCTCTTCTTCTGCAAAGACCCTAACTCCAGACAACGTTCTAGAACAGGGAAGGGGGCCCCGTGGGAAGAGCACCCGGGCGAGTCCAGGAAAGATTCGGCTCCTGCGCGTGCATCCCAGGCGGCTGCAGTGAGCAGGGTGCTCCGACGCGTTCAGCGTTTCCCGGGCGACGGGGGTTTTTTGCCTACGCCCCAAGGACGTGTATTGAGCGCGGGCTGCGTGCGCTGATCTGTGCGCGGACCCTTCGAACTGGAGTGATCCGTGAGATCCGCAGGTCGAGTGCGTCTGCCTGGGGGCGAGGGGGCGTGGGGACGGTACATGCAAAGGTCCGGGGGCACCCGGGCTGGGGGTGCTTTGCACGCCCGGCCATCGCGGAATTGCGGGGCGCACAGGAGGCAAGGGCCGGCGGCCAGGAGGGCAAACCTGCGGGACTTTTTGAAGAATTCAGACTAGTCCCCTAGGTCACCGGACAGCTGTCACCTAGAGGGGGAAGGGTCAGATCTGCATTTGAGAGTCACCTCTTCCTCCGCCGAGAGGAAGGTCGGCAGGGCGAGGAGATGGAGGCCACAGTTCCATGCTGGGCACGGCGCCAAGTGCCCCCTGCCAATGGCAGCAGCCCGGACACTGACTAGTACAGCGAGTCCTCACTTAACCACGCTGGCTGGCCGGACAGGTCCTGCCTTAAGCAAGCGGAAGTACCAGGAAACAGCTGTACCGGGGGCTGATGTCAACCAGAGTTACACGTGTTTCTGCGCATCCAGCCACCCTCCTAATGAGACAGCCCGAGGGAAGTGAGTTACCCGAGGACCTGGCTTACTAGACTCCAGACCAGCCCCCGGGGGCCCACACCAGGCCTGAGGCACAGGGAGGCGGGGACTTGCAGACTGAACAGGCGACTTCACCCAGCCGGCGAGCTCTGAGGCCAGGCAGTAATGTCGGTGACCTCGGGGACTCACTGATTGCTTAAGGTCATGGGACTGGGGCAGGATGTGCCTGACAACAGCTGCAAGACCTTGGAAACGGATTTCACTCTTTTTTGTTTGAATCCCTACCCAAGGCTATATTTTTAAAAATATATTTTATTTAATTTTATTTATTTATTTATTTTTTACAAAGAGGAAGGGAGAGGGATAGAGAATTAGAAACATCGATGAGAGAGAAACATCGATCAGCTGCCTCCTGCACACCCACTACTGGGGATGTGCCCGCAACCAAGGTACATGCCCCTGACCGGAATCGAACCTG